CGCTAGGAACGTGCTGAGTGGGAGCCTCTGGATCCCTGGCAAAGGCTGTGGAAACTCTCCCCGAGAAACACCTCTGCTGCTCAGACTTTGTTTTCAGATAGATGGTATGTCTGGACCATGGCGGGTTCAGAAACATGGGAAGAAGCCAGTAATGTTGGTCAGAATTGGGAAAGAGCTAAATTCCCTCAAGTGTGCAAAGGCTGGCAAAGGTTCTGAGGAACCGTCTATCGGGGTGGGGAGGGGAAGGGAGATGACCTCCTAAATACACACGAAAGTATGCCCGCAAGTCCACGCTGGCTGCTCCCCCGCCCTGTTTGTCATGATTCTTGGTGCAAGGGGAATGAAGAGTAATTTCTGCCAAGTCAGCAGGTTATGAGCTGATGCGTTTCACAGCGAGTCCAGATGGTTTTACTTTCTGCGTGTTGCAGTGGATCATTCAAGCTGGTCTCAAACTAGTTTTTGAGAACAGGAATAAAAACTTGCCTACCGTCAAATGACAGCGTCTGCCCTGAACCAAGGGAGAGAGCATGGGTGAGGCCTTGTCTACACTGGGGGCTTCTGCCAGCAGACAGATCGTGCGAGCCACCGGAGCACGTGGCCTTGAACCCACCCAGCTCCACTGGGAAGATGCTGGCAGAAGATGCAGGGGTGTGTACACGTGACTTCTGCCAGCTGCCAGGGAACAGCCTGCCTTGGTGGGAGCGCTGGTGCTGCTGTGACAGCAGACAGAAGGGGATCTGCCACCTTGGCAGACCCGCGTGAGTGGAGGCATTGGCAGTACGGCCAACAGTGCTTGAATTCTGCCGGCAACATTATGTCGTGCAGAATAGGCCCGAGTTGTCACGATGTGAAGGGCAGGGGTGGGAGGCCTGCTTTCCATTAGAAACGCAGGCTTGTACAAGTTTCACTGCTGCAGCTGGGAGGGATTTTTCTTCTGAAATTACATCAGTGCAACTTCCAGTATGGATACAGGCGGACCAGTTTCAAGACGCTTTCCATCAAGCCCTTCCCAGGTAGTAAGAGTGTAAGGTACTGTGTACCAGTGTATTGCATCGACTGTAGGACAGTTTTACTACTTTGACTATATCGGTTACAAGGATTGTTGTGTGTGGACAGGATTGTAGTTGTGACCACACCTGATCAAACCAAGGATCCCTAATTCCCAGTTTCTTGCCTCTCGTAACTGTGTATCCCATATGTTTCTGAGGACAATATTCGAAAAGCCTGAAAGCACCAACGATTTATGCTCAGTGGAAGCTTTATCCCATCTTCTTTTGGCTGCGTGCTGGTTTGTGCCCTAACGCTGGGAGACCTGCATCCCTCCTACCGATGGGGTTGTTTCCCTGTTTTTCCTTGCTCCTTGTGTGACTCGCCTCTGCATTTGCAAAAGTGGGATAATAGTCTGTAGCGCATAAAGCCAGAGAAAATGGCATCATAAAGGTGCAGAGATGTCAAGTACTTTGAAATCCTCAGCTTAAAAGTGCTATGAAAACACTAAACATTACCCAGTGCTTAGTACTGTTATTACCAAGCTGCTGGTAATAGGCAGCTTGCATGACTTCCACCTTTTCTTACGCAAAAAGAGCTATTTCACTGTACAACCCCCACCCCCACCAAACTTATCTTTGTCTTTCCTTCTAGATTACCATCTCAGTAAATGGCTTTTTGTTCTCTGACAAGATGTTAACACTCTGAAGTTAGTACTAAGCTTAGTACAAATCGTATGGACTGGTCAAGGTCAGGTGTAGAGGCAGATGGGCAGCGTGGCAGTGAAGCAGGCACTAGGAGGTGCGGGCTATATCGCCAGGAAATACTGTGCAATGCCCATGTACAGCTCTGCAGGAGGCAGAAGGGGATAATGGCTGGATAAAGTCCTCAAGGCAAACTACCAAGCTGCTAAAGAGAGGAATATTGGAAACAAAAAAGAAGTAGACAGTGGAGCATCTGGATTTGATTTCCAGTTCTGCCACCAACTTGCTGTGTCTCCTTATGCAAGTCATTTCCTCCATTTACTCATCTATAACATGAGTCTTATTAACCCTGTTTTACAGATGGGAAGGTGAGGCATGGAGAGAGAGAGGTAACCTGGTCACAGTGAGTCAGAGACACTGGAATGAAGATGCTCTTGCCTTCTCGCCCCAGGGCTGGTTGACTAAACCTTGCTGCTTTTCCACAGGGGAATAAATGAGGCAGAAACACATGTATAACTACTCCAATGCACTTTGCTATTAGAAATGATTTCACTGTGTGCTTATGTCTGGAAGAAACCAGTGAGGCTGTACTCTTCTTATTGAATGAATAATTGCAGTCCATCCAGTTAGAATTTGACAGTCTCCTGGGAACGCAAACCTTTCTGCGCTGCTTTAACATGCACTTTGCAGACATGTCAGATTTTTCTGCTTCAGTTCCTTAGCATAATAAGAGGCAATGTCCTTCCCACTACTTCATCTGTCTTTTACCAGGAGATGAGGTTGGCAGAGCCCTGGGGGCAAAAGGGAATCCATCTCTGTCCTCGAAAGTAAAATGAAGACTCTGCAATTTGTGCATGATTGCAGTAAAGAATATGTGCTATAACCCGAAGTCCTCTATATACTGGACTCCCTTCGGTCTATTGGCAGGTCTTTATTTTTTCTCAGAGTAAAAGTGACTGCAGGCTAAATGTTATTCTCTGAAAAGAGTTACAGGACACATAAATCCCTTTATGGCTCTTTCTAAGACTTATATAGAAAAAGGCCAAATTTGGGCCAAGGAATTTTCGAGTAAATCTCACGGACACCTTTATCTTCAATGCCGAAAATCATCCCGTGGACCTGCCGGTCCCAATACACAATAAATCTCCTTGCCTCTAGCAGAGATTAACAAGGTTGGCTTTGTTATACTTCATGTTATGCTGCACTTAAGGTCCTTGCGTGGGAGGAAGTCTCCGTTGGTTTCAGGGATTATTCTGCTAGTGAAGTGCGTTGTTTGATGGGATTTTGGGGTGGCCCTGTGATGGCTCACGGGAACTCCCATGATTTTTGTCATGTTTTGCTGGCATAGTCCGTCCTGTTGTGACTAGAAGGATGCCAAGACCTTCAGGTTGCAAGGGCTTGTTGATATGCGGTGGACCCAAGGATCCCAGGATTGTAAGAAAGTAGGTCTGGGAGGGACCTCCCAAAGTCATCTAGTCCGTGGTGCTCAGGGCCGGATCACGCCTGCCTAAACCATCCCAGATAAGCGTCTGTCTAACCTCCTCCTGCACCCTTCCGCGGGGGGAGATTGCACAGCGTCTCCCCCACGCTTGCCCACCCTCGCCTCGTCTCCAACCCAAATTTCCCCTGCTGAAGCTTGAGGCTGTTTGCTCCTCGTCCCGTCCCCTATGGCCACAGAGAAAAACCCTTCTCCGTTCTCCCTGGAATCGCCTTGCAGGAATTTGAAGACCTGACAATCAAATCCCCCCTCGGTCTTCAAGGATAGATGACACCAGCACGTCAAGGCGGGCGGTGAGGCAGGACGCACCCGGACCGTGTAATGATGAGGAGAGACGTTAGATGAGCTTTGGGACACCACGCTCCTTCTTGAGGTGTGGGAAAGGAGCGGAGGGCTGCAGACAGTGGTTTTTGTGGGGGAAAGGGGTCGCCACGAAGAGAAGCAGGCAGGAAAGTGGTGCAGCAAAGAGGTGCAGTTACAGCCCACGTGAAGGACGAGTAGCAGTGGTGGCCTTAGGGCTGTTGCGGCCCTGGGCAAGAGTCATTTGGGGCCTATTAGAGGCTTAATTTTGATGACCTATAAGCAAGTCAAGTAGGACGCCCGCCAAAGGTTTTGGAAACATCTGATGCCCCAGGTGGGGGCGGAGGATGGCTGCCGGCAGCGGGGCCACTTACGGTCCTGGCCCGACTCATGGACTTCAAGTTTGTTTTGGCCGATTTGGCTTGAAACACGGAACGTGGACGTTTAAAAACCAAAAAGCAAGTCGGACATTTGTTGCAAAGTTTGGGAGCCCTTAAAGTGCGAGCGGTCGCCCGGTCTGCCCTCCCCTAGGGCCGCGGCTGCTGGCGGCGGGGAGGAGGGGAGGGCCCCGTCTCCAATACTGAATATTGAATCCAGTCTCCATAAAACAACGATCGTACCAGAACCCCCAAAATGCCCGCAATGGCTGAAAACCCACAGGGCAGAGACGTCTTCTTGTTGACGTCCTATTGCCCCTGCAAAGTGCCCGGGGCGTCCCATTTGTGTATTTGGGGGCAACTCCAAAAAAGTGACTTAAAAGTTGTAAGTTTCCATTTAAATGTAACCCCCCCCCAACTCTCTCCCTTCCCGGAGTGACTCCGGTTTTGTCCCCGGCCTCCCGCACGAGGGGGGTTTGGAGCACGTGCCCTGGAATGCCGGCATGACGTCACGGCCGCGCCCAGCGGGAAAGGGGTGGTGCTGCCCGCCACCAAAATGGCCGCCGCGGCGTCAGCCAAGGGACGGGACGGGACGGGACGGGAAGGGGCGGGGGGGCGGCTGGC